GTGTTCGTCCAGCTCTACATCTTGTTATCTCGGTTTTATTTACATATTTAATTGATGCAATTACTGCATTCATCTAATTCAGTGTTGTTTTACTTACTGATGCCTAGTTTAATTCTTTGCATAAAGTGGAATATTTCAATATTTATGCCATTTTTGAAGGGATAGGAATCTCAATTTACCTGAATGATACTTTTCAACACTAAACTCACCTTTACAGTAATTTTATCTAAATTCTCTGTACATGCCTGGATAAATTGCTTGCTGTTCAGGATACCAGAGCTCTTAGGTGTTCCGATCCCTATTAAATATGGTGCCCTAGGAACTTGACCAATCAGATCCAAATAGCTTCTAAGCTTTTTCAAGATTAGGTGGAACAAGCCCCTTGCAGACTCCTTGCAGGTATACTTGTACAATGGTTCTCAGAGACAAAAATGACCTTCAAAATATTGCTCAGGTAGTTTTCCTGATATTTAGTTTGAGGTAATCAGAATAAGATGTTCTGAAGAAGGAGGCCAGGAAATATTTGATACTTGCAAAGTCCATGGTATACAGTGGCACTGAAATTCAGATACCACATTGCTCATTGTGTGATAAGCAGGTATACTTTTGGCTTAGCAGTGACATCCTGTTAACTGGCAAACAATGGTCGTGTTGCTACTCCACAAATGCATCATGAAGCAGTTGGCTTCACTTGTTGCTGAAATATTTGAGCGCTCTTTTTCAGAGTAATCTGAATTAGACTGGGAATTTTTCAGGTCCAAAAGTCATGGCCTTTAACCCATTCATGAGTTTCTACTTTACACAGCTGATTACAAGGTTGCTGATAAGGCTAATCTTATAATGCGTAGACAGCATTTATTGCTCAGTGAATGTAGGCTTGCGGCAGACAATAGAAGAGAAACCCCTCTATCCCCACCCTGCCCAGTCTTGCACTGGCTGATTTCTCAACTAGCACAAACTATCTAGGAAAGGGAATTGTTAATTGCTCCATTTCAAAAGTGAATTTGAGCAAAAAATAGAGCCCATTAAGATATGTAAGGAATTATTTTACACACAGCTGTTGATTCATGTATAACACATGATTCTATCATTGGCAGATTACTGAAGAAACTGAGAGCCCACGGGATCCAAGGCAAAGTGGCTTGTTGAATCCAAAATTTGTTGAGAGGCAGGAAGCAGAGAGTGATAGCAGAGAGATTTTTCTGAGACCGAAAGTCTGTTTTCAGTGGGCTTCCTCAGGGCTTGGTGCTAGGGATCTTACTGGCCAGTAATAGCGAATGAACAGTTGGAAACAGTATTGCTATTGTATGGTCTTTACAAATGTGAAGAAATCCATCACAGAAATAATTCTAGCAATTTTAGTACCTTCAGGATTCCTGTGTTATCAAAATGGGACAAATTTGGATAAGAACTACCGTTATAGTAATCTATGTTAATAATCAAACAGACCTGTTTATTACTATAATCAGGGCCTCAATACTTCAACCAGCTAAAGTCTTTTCTTGCTTTTTTCAGGTAAACGGAAATGTGTAGAAGATGCAAGACGAGTATTGAAAGTGTTGTCTGATCTTTTAGGTCATGATAATCATGAGGTATTATCTCTAAGTGTGTAATACAAATCTTAATGTTTATTCTGTTCCTATAAATTATTTAGTTTACTTTTTTTGTTTGTTTTAATGTGCTCAATGTTTTATCGTAGCATGGCTTATGGTTAATGTGGAGGCATTATGCTCAACTGGCTTGTCTCTTTAAAGCCACTGCCTGCGTACTGTTGAGTCGAGAAGTGACTTAAGTAGACTAGCTGTAGGAATATATAAGTCTTTGTAGATTGGCAACTACTTATGAATTCTCTAGCTGTTGCTCCAGGGGAGAGGGTACATTGGAATCATCAGTTGGCAATGGCATTTTTTTTCTATGTAAATTATAGTTACATGTCTAGACACAAGACTTTTTAAACTTATACCTATTTTATATATGTGGCTTGTTTCCATGTTACTTCTTAATTAAGTATACTGTAATTATGTCATGATGATTAGTCCTGTTGTCTGAATTTATTTATCAAAGACACAACGGACAAACAAGTAATCTGTTAAATGAATATTGCTTTTAGATTAAAATAAAGCCTACCTTAACTTTTTTGAAGCTGTATGTGTAAGATGTTATCCTCAAAAAGTCAATGAGGTAGGATGGAAATGGCTTGTAATCTTCTGAAGACGATAAGACATAGCAGAGGACCAGGTCCATTTCGCACTTCGAGTCTGCTTCACCATCTAAAGAGGTCATGGCTGATCTGATAATCCTCAACTACACTTTCCTGTCTTTTCCCCATAATCTTCATTTCCCTCTAATTACAAATCCATCTATCTCAGCCTTCAATGTACATAGCAATCCTGCCTTGACAAGCCTCTTCCTATGGAATCCTCACTTTTCATATTTCTGTAAAGAGGATTACTATGCAGAGAGCTTCTGTTTAAGATTGAAGTGTATTTTGGTTGAATAACACAAGGCAAATGCAAGCATGCCATTATTAATCGTGCAGATTGAAATACATAAGACAGCCTTTTTGTCCATCACATTTGTGCTGGCATCAGCCCTATGCATGTTTACCCATTGCCTGCTTTCTCTTTCTATTCTTTTATACTCTTCCCTTTTAAAATATTTATTAAATTCCATTTTAGCGCATTACAGAAAATTGTGTTAAATCAGTTTATGTTTTAGTAAATTGCTACTGGGGTGAAAGAGAGTAAGAGATGTAGAGAAAAAAAAAGCCGTTTTTCTTACAGTTGAAATCAGGTTCCTTTTCAAGTTTTCAAAATATATCTATCTTTGGTTCCAAAATATATGAATATTTTTAACAGATCCATTAAATTATCATTTAGTTATGGGACAATAAAACTTTTTTTTCAACTAAGTGCCAATTAACTGAATGCCAGCTGCTTCTTTCAGATAAGGCCATATGTTAATGGAGCTTTATACAGCATTCTTGCCATCCCTTCAATACGCGAGGAGGCAAAAGCTATGGTAAGTATGAGGAGGGGTGGGAAAGAAGAAAAAATCTTTATTTTCTGATCATTTCTTTAAATTTAACTTATTATATCATTTTCTGACACAATTCTAGGGCATGGAAGAAATACTGCGGTGTTTTATTAAAGAAGGGAATACTGAGATGAACAGACAGCTTGAGTTTATTATAAAACAACTCAATTCAGGTTAGTGTACAAGAGAAGCCTTGCGGGGAAGATATTCTGACGGTGCTGTTAGTGATTTGAAGATGATAACCAATAGCATTTGTGCACATATTGATGCTTTATGTGTTACTGTAATAAATACCACTTGTAAGATGCTGATAATTAATTCTCAAAGTTTCTGTAAATTAGTAGACAATTCATTTTAGTTTTTTTACAAAATGACATTTGGCTATAATTTTTAAATGCACATCTGACAGAGGAGGTGCTTGAAGAATCAGATTCTGATGATGAAGAGGAAGAAGATGATGATGATGAAGTAAGGCTAAATTCTTCCAGAAACTGCTCAAAGTAAAAGCTCTGTTCATATGATTTTTCACAGTTAGTTACATACAGCATGCAACCCTTGATGATTCTTTCATTGTAAATGTATGTATGACTTTTGTACAAGTTTATATTGGAGTGTGGTTTCTTGTTACACATAGAAGGATGTGTAAGGCTCGAAGAAGTAAGCTAGTGCTTTTTCTCCCCCTCATCAATTGCAAGAAAATCTTTGCACATAAGATCCACAGTTGAATCAAAGTTAGTCTTTAAGATATTTGCAGCTCTTACCAGTATGTGGAAATTCAACATAGCAAATTCCATAATGACCAATGTGCACCAAATTTTATTATAAACCAGTGGAAACTACAGTCAACTCAATACTGACATTTGGACTCCTTTAATTTGAGTACAGTAGATTTTTTTGTTGTTTTGTAATGATGGAATTGAAAGTACAACTAGTTTGTGTGGTCAGTTTAAACTTTTCCTCATAATTCATGTGAAGCTTAAAACAAACGATCAAAAGATTTTCTGTTCTTGAGTGGTACTGTATCGTATTTTCTTTCAGTCTGTTGACGATCATTCACTCAGGATGATAGGAGAGAGGCACTTTGACACTTAGAATATTAAACTGCATTTCTTTTCTTTAATCCCTTAAAAAGTGGCATGGCTTCCAACTGGAATAAAAAATACAAGAGCAAGAAAATATAAGTAGCATAATTTTTGTTATCTAATCTAAGTTTTTTTTACTTCAGTAATTTATTAAAGTTTCAATAACAGGATGACCAGGATGCGATGGAAGCCGACTTGGACAAGGCTGAAATATTAAAACCCCAGCCTGGAGAGTTATCAGGAGAAAAACTACTGACAGCTGAGTATCTAGGGGTGGGTGTTCATTATCAGACATCAGGAAGCACTGTAAGTTGAATGCTGAAAGTTATTGTAAAATATTTAAGGTATAGATTATTTCTTAGGAGTTAATGAAAACAATTATAGTTGGCCAAACACTGTTTAGCAAAGATGGACATAAAAGCAAAAGGTGGACATTGAGGACATGATGGCTAGGAGATCGTTTTCATAAAGTCGCAACTGTTGTTAAAAGAGCACTTATTGGGTTGTCCAGCCAATTTTCTACATTCTGACCCAATCTTATTTACTGTACCATCTCCATTACATCAATTTAGAGATACTTAATGAATTTACACTGAAAATTCAAGCAGTAACCTTCCTTTAACACATGCTTTATCTAGGGAGTATGTTAATTTGGAATGATTGTGGTTAGGTTTTCGCCAATCTGGTTCTACTTTTTACCATCTGAAAAGGATGTGGAAAAAAAAAGTATGAAAGAAATTTCCAATATTAACATTTCCCCAAAATATTCCAAGATCTAAAACTGAGGGCAAAATTTTCCCCTTTCTCGAGTCGGATGAAAGAAAGCGAGGAGTTGGGAAAATATGACAAGATTTGGAAAAAATCAGAATCTCTATGTCAAGAAAAATTGCTTGCAATTTTCCCCTTACGTTTAAGTGGCAATTTCAGACTCTCACTATTGAGTGGCTATCTTATTTCCATGTGTTTTCATTTTATTAATATCCCAACTCGCCTAATTTATACACCACTTATTATTTTCCTCTCCATCCTCAAGAAACTGGATGGTGCAAATTCCCGACATGCAAATCAGAACAGGAACCTGGAGAAGGCAGCAGTCTAATTGCTTGTGTTAGCCATCACCCACTGTATCTTCAGTGCAATGTCCCTGCCTGCTCCATGGACAACATCCTTCTTGGACCAACACAGTGTGGAGCAGGAGGAACACAGCAGGCAGGCAGCATCAGAGGAGCAGGAAAGTTGACGTTTCGAGTCGGGACCCTTCTTCAGAAAATTTCTTGAGCCTTCATTCAGACATGTTGGTATTGGCAAACCACTAGCCTCACCACATCAAACCAACTCTCACACCACTTAAGCCCTTCAACAATTTACTTTGGAGCTCAGGGACAGCTACAATTTGCATGTGTCCGTTAGGTTGTTTTGCAGATAGAGACTTCCACATCTCATGCATCTTTATAGGATGCATCTTATGCTTCTCATCTTGCTTTCTTAGCCCTCACTCACTTTGTGTTTGCAGGTAGTTCTGCTGTAAAGTGTGCTTCATTAACGTGAATTGGCTGTAACACAATTGATCAATAGTGGAGAGAGATAGTGGACGCTGTTTGTATAACGTGAAGTTTCTGCTGTACAGGTATAGTGATTTGCTATGGCAATTTCTCTATAGCACGATTTTTTATAACATAAAGTCACAGAAGAATGCAACTATCGTGTTATAGGAGAACTACCTGTACTTGGAGGTTGTCAGCCTCTTTATACTTCATATTACCTTTCCATGCACAGGGTCTTTGGTGCTCATTTACAGACTACCAGCCTCTCTGGCTCGCATTGCTTTTTAGCACAGAGAGACGTGCAGGCAGCTTGTCAAGGTACAGAGCACTGAACAGGATCTGGGTGCCTGCTGATGCTGCTCTGTTACTCTGAAAGGAAAGGCCACCTGAAGTGAGTTTGATCCCAAATTCGCCTTTTACTTTGCCAGTAATGCTGAGTACCTTTGTCAGGAATTATGGAGTGCAAGTCTGTGCATATGTTCAGCAGACACTGAGTGATTTGGACTTGGATGTCCATGGTGGTCATCAAATGGCCAAGGAAACAGCCAGACACATGTTTGCTGAAGCTACCACATTACTGATAATATTGGTGGAATCTTCCATTCTTCAATCCAATTTACTGACTACCTCTGACAAACCTATCTTTGTTCCTTTGCACCTCTGTGCGTTTTCACAAAGTCATTATTGGCCAATACTGAGATTGTGAACTGCCTGGGACTGCACAGGTGTCTGCTTTCTGGCTGTCTTATGACCATGCCTGGGGCATTACTACTTTGACCAGCTGCAAAGACATCTCAGTGATGTGCTAATCGGATTTTTCTCCTGAGTCTAATCTAAATACAGAACCCATCAAGATGAATGTCTCTGAGCTGTTGGAAGATTTAGGTGAAATGTTTGCAATCCATCCTTCTTCCTTAGAGGTGGAGTTGAGTATCTCCAGTGCTGGCCTCTTCCTGCCGGAGGTTTACTGGGTGCTGCTAGTGCCTGCATAAGAGGGTAGGGAATTAGTTGTGTAAATGTGATAAAAAGGGTATGTAGATTAAGAATGAGTTAGTACTGGTGTTAATGGGAAAGCAGCACAGCACAACACAGTGAACCTTACTGTGTTGGTTGACCATTGAGGTCACTTCATCCCCATGCGAACAGTGCTATTCTCTAGCCAATTCTAAAGTTTTTTCCTCATAAGGAGTGAGATCCTCATGTCCTGATGCCTAACATTCCCCCACCAATCTTGACTCTCTTGGTCCTGTTGTGAGCCAATTTTTCCTGAAATGAGACAAAGGGCGGAATTGATTAGATGGAAGTGACTTAAGTGCAGTTAATGGTGATACAGGAGCAGGAGAAGTGGTGACATGCCCAGTGAGTGAATAGGAAGCACAGAGGATAAGAAGTGTCAGTAGTTTAGGAGGATAAGAGAGCAAGAGCCATTGAGTGGACATAGTGCATATAACAGTGAGAGTTTTAATTCATAACCTTGGTAAGATGCATGTATTGTAGCAGCGTTAAGAGTGAAGGTGATCCTGTGAGTGTCAGATAGCAGAGAGAAGACGATGGCACTTACCCTTGCAGAGTACACAAGATCATTGATTTTCTTCCTCCACTGCCAGGCATTCCTTTCCACCTTAGTCACAGCATTGAGCGAACCCACAGTCTGGGTCCGGGTTGGCTGTGTTTCATGATGCAGCCTTCTGTAGCAGTCAACTGGATAAAGGATTTCCTTCCTCTCCACAACCCCATTCTCCAGGTATCTGTCCACTAAACGGATTGTGAGCTTTCTTTTCTGAGTCATGTATTCAGCAATAATGGTGGAACACCACAGTATGACTGAGAGTTTCTGGCTTGCAGCTTCTAAAATGTTGAGCATTTGGGTTTTAATTGTAATGCCACCTGCATTAATGCTGAAAGATCCTGGCAATATTAAGAGCTTCTGCCTCTCCTGCTACATGATTCCACAAGAAAGATGCCAAAGAGCTTGGGTGTATTGTTACCAAGGTGAAGTCACTCTGAGCTATGGCAGACTGGGCATCTCTCTTGACAAAACATTTTAACTGAAATTGGGAAAATTCCACCCTAAATATGCCTTCACTACAAATTCTATTAGTCAAGTCTGATGCCCATGCTGACTCGGTCAGCCGCATGTTTGTGGAGCTGACCATTTAAAATGCTGCCAAGTTCATCTAGGATGAGCATGTTGCAGGTGAAACACAGTGAAACCTTACTTTGTCATTCTTAGTTGAAGATGTTTTTTAGAGACTATTCTCGATACAATTCCTAGCATAGAAAAACTACTAGCTTGAGCAAGAAAACAAACTATTGTCATGTTAGCTGAATTTCCACAGTCTTGTAATTTAAAGTCAGATTAATTAGATGTGATTTTAGAACTGGTCCCTAAGAAAGATCCATTGATGTGGTATCTCTCAGAACTGATGTGATTGGCTATATGTAGACTGAAATGTTAGCCCAGCGGCAGCATTTCAAGAAGCTCCATTATAATAAAACCTTTAATATTTTCACTTGAAGGACATATTGCTGGACTATATCACAGAGCAAAGAACATAACACCAATTATAATTGAAAACTATTTTCAATCAGGCTAAAGCAAATCATCGTCACTAGTGTAGCAGCCATGCCAACAAGCAGCTTTATTTGGCCTGAGAATGGCATCAGTTGCTCACTGTAGAATGATTTGAGTATTCAGTTGTGTTCAGATGGTGGGTATTAACTGATGATTCATTTGTACTGTCATACACAGGAGTGAAATAAAACTATGATTTTTGGATTAGGACATTTGTGAGACATATCTCTGTAAAAAAACAGCTTTTGAAAGGGGATCAATTTAGTTTCAAAGCAATATAAAGTTCTTCTGTACCATTTAGCTCGATTACCCTGCTGACACAGACTTTTTCTCCTGTAACAACACTAATTATTTTGGCATGGAATGTATTTTACATTGAGGGGAAAAAAATTGACTATTTAAAACTAACAGTTATTATTAACATTAATTTACAGGCGTATCCCATTAAGAGCCTTCTTTGAATTTTGGATCCGAAATATCAGAATATCAGAATCAGAATAGAAGGACAGTTTGAGAAAATTGTATTGTTGCTCAATAAAATATTTTAGTGTATTAAACACTATTTTCTAAATATATAAATTATTAAATAAACTTTCATTGACTACATATATGTAGAAATCTCCTGGCTTCTTGGCAACAGTTGATAACTGAGAAACTACGTGAATTTCAAACAGATGTCGTGAGCATTGCACATTATCATAATACAATAATGTGAAAAATGTGCAGTCTCAGACATTATGACAAGGGGTTTTCTATTATTTGGCAGATAATGACAAACACAATGAAGGCCAAGAGAAAGCCAATGCCACTTTTGAATGAAAGTGTTGATGAACCTCTCCGACGACCAGTTACGCCCAGCATGCACAGAGTGGGTTACACATTGTGAGTAGTCTGAAAAACACTGAATATAGGAATGTAACAATACTTTGTTTTCTTTCATGATAACATTATTTGGTAGAAAACTTAACATACAGCATTTTATAATTTGTATTGTATAATAAAAGTAGTTGTGTGTTGACAGTTTTAATTTAGAACACCCAACTGCAACAATTTTACTCCCATTTCTAACACCTAGCAATGTGAATTTTTATATCTTTCAGGCATTGCAGTACCATAATAAGAAATGAAAAATACTTATTAGATTGATATTTAACGTTTATGTGAACTGTAAAGTTGTAGTCACATCAGATACAGAACAAATCATTATCCATTCAATAATGCATCATTTAATTCACGTGCATGTATTGTAAAATTATATAATTTCAAACAGTTTGAAACAAGCAAAATTATACTCCATCACTATGGTTACCTACTCCTGAAGGAAAGAAATGAGAAAGCAAATCCAAGAAGAATAACACTGAAAATTATTTTTAAAATGTAAAGACATTAAGTAAACATAACTTGCTGTAAAATTTTAGGTATTTATGAATTGAAGAACTGCTTAATTTTAATTTCTCTACACTTTTAAGCACTTTTTCATTGCGTGCAGTTTTTTTATTACGCGTACACAACATTTATCAAGATTTTACTTTCTATATATTTTATAGGTTGGGAACTGCACCAAATAAACATGAAAGTAGAAGCGCCAGCACTGACAGCAACCTCTATTCATGTCAAAGCTCTCGACCCCCTACTCGAAGTGGAAGTAGAGGAAGTAATTCTGGCTTTGGGGCCTCTCCTGTCAGTAAGTCAAAAAAACCATTTGATTGTTTAAAATTCCAAGAAGGGGAATGTTTATTACTTAATGCCAAATGAGATACAGATTAAGTGGAACTTGTAGAAATATATTGGTTGGAATTCCCCTCCTTAAAGTGGTGTAAGCAAAGATGGGAAGAAACAATGAGAATGACAAAGATCAGAATTTCTATATCAAGAAATATTTTGCAATTTTCCTCTCAAGACTTAAATGGAGACATCAGAACCTGACTATTGAGTGGTGATTACTTTATTTCCGTGCAATTGCATCTCACTAAAGCCCAACTCGGCTTGATTTATCCTTACATAGGATTGGTTACTGCTGACAAGGTCAGCATTTATCACACATCCCTAATTGGTCTTGAACTGATCAGATTTCCAGTTCATTTTAGTAAAAATTTTAGGCCGATTGGGAGTCATTTATATTTATGAGTCTCTGAAGTCATGCATAGGCCGGATCAGGTAAGGATGGCAGATTTTTCACTAAAGTATGTGAATGGATCACATGGGTTTTTACAATAATGGACAATGGTTACTTGATCACCATTAATCTAGTTGTTTTAATTCCATATTTTTTTGAATTCAAATTTCACTATGTCCTAAGACCACCTTTTTAAATCACTCTTGGATGTGGGCGTCACTAGCTGGGTCATCATTTATTTCCCATCCCTAGTTGCCCTTGAGAATGTGGTGGTGAGCTGACTTCCTGAACCTCTACAGTCTTTGTCCTGCAGGTAGACCCACAATGCCTTTAGGGGGGGAATTCCAGGATATTTGACCCAACGACAGTGAACGAACAGTGATGTATTTCTAAGTCAGGATGGTGAGTGGTTTGGAGGGGAACTTGCAGGTGGTGGTATTTCCATGTAAATGCTACCCTTGTCCTTGTATATGGTAGTGTCTATTGGTTTAGAAGGTTCTGTCTTATGATCTATGGTGAATTTCTGCAGTTCATCTTACAGATGGTACACATTTCTGCTCCTGAGTGTCAATGGTAGAGGGACCTGTGGCCAATGGCTCTCAATTACTAATACAGTGAAATTAGCATTTTGCTGTCACCTCCTTTTTCTATGCAATTTCCAGTTTTCCTCTCATACCCCAAAAAACTAGATGGTGTAAATTGGTGACATTTAAGTCACAACTGGTACCTGACAGCTATCGTTTAGTTATAATGTAGCAGGATGTTATTGCATTCTCCAAAGGCATTATCTTCTTCGACCCTTTGTCCACTTAAGTCAGCATTCTTAAAAACCCACCTGATCACATCATCATGCCTGCTCTCAGATCAGTCTTCACACCACTTCAGTTCATCGTCACTTTATATTTGAGCTCAAGGGTGGCTACAATATGCATGTTTCTGCCAGGTCACTTTGTAGCAAAGACTTACATGCATCCCATCCATCTGCAGAGGATGCTTCTTATAGTTCTTGGCTTACTTTCTTAGCGTTCATTCATCTTGCACTTACTTGGAAGCTGCCAGTCTCTGTCTACCTCGCATTGCTTTCGTAGCACCCATTCATTCACTTCTGCTCTGACCTACGAGCTTCTAGTCACTGTGGCTCTCATTGCTTTCTTAGCTGTGATAAAAGGTGTCTAACATATAATGAGGAAGGGTCACCAGACCCGAAACGTTAACTCTGTTTTCTCCTCCACAGATGCTGCCAGACCTGTGAGCTTTTCCAGCAACTTTGTTTTTGTTCCTGATTTACAGCATCCGCAGTTCTTTTGGTTTTTATCTAACATATAATGTCATGATTTGAGATTTGGTTTCTTAAAATAGAGACAGATGTGTGGTTTCAGTTATATGAAAGTAACTTCTTTTAAGAGGTCTTTTGGAACAGTGAAATAGAGACATAATTACTAAGAAAGCATATATGCCTAGTAGAACAATTATGGTGTTAATGGATGAAGTGTTTTTACTGATGAGTTTATGACAGAGAGAGAAAACAGATCAGAGACCTTTAGTTCGGTTTTTTACTTCAGTTCAGAAGAATGAAGAGTTTAGTTCAGACAGAAGAACAATTTTCTTCCTGGCAGTTGAATCAAGTTTTCAGTTCAGTTCAGTCTAGCAGAACATAGAACAGTACAGCACAGTACAGGCCCTTCGGCCCATGATGTTGTGCCAAACTTTTACCCTAAACCTAAGGTCTAGCTAACTTCCACCCCTACCTTATACTATCATCCATATGCCTATCTAATAGCCGCTTAATTGCCCCTAATGAGGCCAACTCCACTACCCTCTCCGGCAATGCATTCCACGCCCCTACCACTCTCGGAGTAAAGAACCTACCTCTGACGTCTGCCCTGTATCTACCTCCACTCACTTTAAAACTATGCCCCCTCGTAATTGCGACCTCCACCCGAGGAAAAAGTCTCTGGCTGTCCACTCTATCTATAACTCTGAACATTTTGTACACCTCTATCACGTCACCTCTCAACCTTCTAAAGAGAAAAGCCCTAGGTCTCTCAATCTTTTCTCGTAAGACCTTCCCTCCATTCCAGGCAACATCCAGGTAAATCTCCTCTGCACCTTTTCCAACGCTTTGACATCTTTCCTGTAATGAGGTGACCAGAACTGGACACAATACTCCAGATGTGGCCGAACCAGGCTTTTGTATAGCTGGAGCATAACTTCAAGGCTCTTGAACTCAGTCCCTCTATTAATGAAAGCTAACACACCAATAGCCTTCTTAACAACTCTATCCACCTGGGTGACAGCTTTCAGGGAACTGTGAACATGAACCCCAAGATCCCTCTGCTCCTCCACACTGCCAAGTATCTTTCCGTTAACCCTGTATTCTGCTTCCAAGTTTGTCCTTCCAAAATGAATCACCTCACACTTTTCAGGGTTAAACTCCATCTGCCACTTCTCAGCCCAGCTCTGCATCCTGTCAATGTCCCTTTGTAACCTAGAACAGCCCTCTGCACTGTCCACAACGCGACCCACCTTCGTATTGTCCGCGTCCAGAAGTCAATTCAGTTTGTGAAGTGTCAATGCTCGGAGAGTTTGTGTAGAACTCTTCACATTGTTAGAACTGAAAAGAGGTTTAAGCCATTATAGTTGAGAAAGGGTTCATGTCAACAGACCTGGAAAGAAGTTGTAAAACTATTTAAGTAATGCAACGAGAACCGAGAAGAGTTAGTTCAGTAAGAAATTCAAAGTGTTGAGATAGGAGTGATATTTCTGTGGATATTGGTAGGAAACTGGCTGAGATTTTGTTTAGTTGTTTATTTTAAGATCTTTGCAAATTGTCTTCTATGCATATATGTATAAAGTTTTGAGGTTTTTTGTGTAATAAAGGTGCCTGCTTTCGTTATATTCGCAGACTTACGTGCATGTGCAAGAAATTAATTACCAAAGTAACCAACAGCAAAAAATAAACTTACAATCTGTCAACTCAGTTTTCACTCTGTAATTTGATTTGTCCAGTATTTACATCACTGGAATCATAACAAAATATGTGCACGATCAGTCTTCATTGAATTTAAGTGAGATCCGTGAACCTTTTTAAAGACATCAGTATTTGAAACAGGAGTGTTGTGGTAAAGTTTTTACGCTGTTGGCCTTTCAAAATGACTTTGAATGTTACAAATGTTTTGAGGGGAAGAGGAGTAAAAGACATAACACTGAACTATTTGAAATATTTGACTAAGACTAAACTGAGGGAGTTAGCAGGTAACTTCAAGGTAGAAATAAAAGCTAGGTCTCATATGCTTAAAGTAAATATGTACCATTTAGAATTAGGAAGAGGGAAACCTGAAGTTGAAATGTCACTGCTTAAATTAGCTGAGATTCAATCAGAAATGAGAAGACTTGAGGTAAAAAAGAAAGAAGAATAAAGAGAAATTGAAAGGCAAGTAGAATTAGGAAGGCCTCTTCAAAGAGAGGGAGAAATCAGAGATAACAAGGTGTAGAGCTGGATGAACACAGCAGGCCAGGCAGCATCAGAGGAGCAGGAAAGCTGACATTTCAGGTCTGTGTTTGTCCAGCTCCACACCTTGTTATCTCGGACTCCAGCATTGGCAGTTCCTACTATCTCTGGAGAAATCAGAGAGCTTGGCTTGGAGCGAGAAAAACTCAGAAGAAAGGAAGAAAAAGATAATGTTTTTGATTCCAATGACAGTTTAGATACAACTGGAAAACTACATCGAGTGCCTAAATTTACAGTGGATGGAGTAGAAAGATTTTTC